TTCAAACAATAGATATGAAAGAAAAGGTACTGTTTCAAATACTTATATATATATTGCTTCTGTATGTCATTCCTGTTTCATGCGTGTTTTGAATTGTCAATGATTAGGCATTTCGAAGGATTTATGTTGAAAATGTACATGTTCTGTTTAATTTTCTCTATACATGTACCAGTATAAAGATTTCACAAGAAATGCATGTTTCCATAATAAACTTTCAAAATATTAATAAACACACAGTAATTCAACTCGCAAATATTTTTATTTTTAAGTAAATGTGCCAATGCAATTTCTTTAATATTTAAAGCTTTGATATTAAATTGACCTTGTTTTCAAGACTTTTTGTGATATGTATGAATGTTTCAAAGTTGACTTTATTGGGAAGTCGTCATTCTCTCCCTGTAAAAATACAGCAGGGAGGGTCTACACTTAATACAAAGTGAAAACACAATGCTATTTTATTTTGTAATTCTTCATTCTAACCTGATTTTATTTTATCATCACAACACATCAAATTTCTATAAAATCAGAGTCTATTGACTGCAAATGATTAAAATTTTGAATTGAAATCTTATAAGTAATTGGATTGAATATATTTAGGTTCTTTTTCTGAGACCATTGCCTTTCATGCCAATATCAAAAATGATCTAAGGAATGTTCCTGTAAGAACCAACATTAAATTTAACAACGTCCAGTTAAACAAAGGCAAAGGCTATGATCCGACAACAGGAATTTTTACAGCACCGGAGGGTGGTCTTTACTCGTTAGATTAGTTATTTCTATCTAATAAGGGTGGAACCGTTTACCTTTTCGCCATGGTTGATGGTACCGTCCGTGTTCAAACCTGCATTGAAAAACAACAAAGTGACTATATATCTACAACTGGTCACTTGGTCACGGAGCTAAAGAAAGGGATGAGAGTATGGATCAAGACTGGTAGTAAGGCTTCTCTCATTCATGGAGGCTATTACAATTACTTTTCTGGGTACAAGTTTAATTAACTCTGAACAGAGAGTTTTAATGGTTTTATTCATTCTTTGCATATTTGATTATAGAAATAAAATACTGATCTGATGTTGTTGGCTTTCGTTTTATTCTTTTTTCAATTGAATTCTTTTGTACCTCACTATAATCTTTATTGTTATCAAGGAAATAGATTATCTGGTACCCTTACCAAACCGTGTTTTATGCCCTGCACACAAATTTGTATTGTCTGTACATTTTTATGAGATCGATCACTGTTTGTTATATTGAGCTTGTCAACCATAATTTTTTTTTTATTTTCACCACAGCAGTGTTAATAAAACATTTTAAAAAGTTCAATGATCTTTCGGTTGACATTTTCTTGCGTTCGATTTGGACATGTAATTTTGAATGAGCGAGTAAGGCTTATAATTTAATTCTTTTCTAAAGTTGTTCAAATATACCCATTTTCTTCAAAATTCAAGAACATTACAATGTTACAAAGCCTGTTTTTCAGTACATGGACTCCGAGAGGAAACTTTTTTTTATAGGAAATGAAAGCACTAAGTCTCTACTTTATATTGATGTTTGAAATGGCACATCGGGAATTAATTAATTGGTATATGTACAGGGGCATTTAATGGAGTTAGTGAACCTAGGTCTTTGTGAACAGGACAGAAAAAGAAATATATTTCTATTTTTCCTCAAATACAGAGAACTTCATGTATAGCATAACTATCAAATATCATTAAAGCTCGTTATATTCCTTTTTGCAAGGGTGGCATGTGCATAATTAAGGTTTTGGTAACTTTAAATAAAATATCGTTTCATTCGAAAAGAAATTGCATAGTATTTTTCCTTCTTTCTCAAACGGAAAGTAAAATAAAACAAATATGAAGAACTCTCCAAAGGATGACTGCACTTAAGGACATACGAAAATTGCGACAAAATAAACTTTCAAAACAAGAATTTTTCCTTTAATTGCACGAATGGTCAACATCTAATCTACAACTTTATGTAATTACATTAAGTAAAAGTACGTATTTACGAAGTACGAAGCTGTTTTCTAAGGCGGGGGTCATCACAATTCCTTGAATCTCCGTACGATAATGAGGACGCCCACTTTTTCACTGACTTTATACATAGTCAGCGCATGTTTGTCTATTGTTCTCCGTTTAACAGTAGTTGTATATTTGCATTAACAATGTTGTGTCAAAAGGAAGTTAATAGACAAACATGCACTCATGGATTAAACGAGAAAAAACTGCTTCTTCTTACATTGGCTCCACCTTTCATGCATATCTAATGTTTAATCAAGGGCAGGTAAGTGTAAATACTCTATATATGGAAAGAATAAGGACAGAAAACATAGAATCATTTTATTGTATCACAGTCTTAGATTATTTTAATATTTAAATTCGGCTCGAAATTGACAGGATTCTTTCATAAATATATAAAAATGAAATAAGAGTATGATACAAAAGCAACAGAAGCAACCGAAAAAGACCCAAAAGCCGGCGTTAAGTGCAGTCATCCTTTGCTGGTGATTGAAGAACATATGGCACTCATTAGGGACATATTAAGAAATGACGTAAAATCAAAAACTGCCTCTGATTTTTAGTTTATAAAAATGCCAGTTTCATTTAAAACATTCATGTTGATAGAAATTGTATAGCTATGTTCTTTGGCACCCTGTGACGGTACATGTTGTCGTTTTGAACATATTGTCGTCGGCGACAATATGAACCTACCCTCACTGCATATACTGTCGTCCATCGGTGCATATTGTAACCGGCTGAGAAGTTACACATCTACATATTGTCGCTGGCGACATTATGTAACCTACCCTCACTGCACATATTGTCGCGCCGCAGATATTGTTCCTTAAAGATTTTTTGGGGTTTTTTCGTAGTTTTGTGAATTAATTGGTGTGGACAAACTTGTATTAACTGACGTGTCTCGTATGCTTTTTCATGCAGCGCGATCGTGACGGTAGATATTGTCGTCCTGTTCATATTTTCGCCGGCTGCATATATCGTCGTCCATCGGTACATGTCACATGACATTAATGACAATACATGGCAATGCTTCCATATAAATATGACTAATCATTGCTTTCCTGTTCTTGATAAGAAGATTTTAAAGAATTTTTCTATACATTCCTGGGTAAAACTTTGATCGCCCATTGTGGCCCAAGTCTAGCCCCGGGGAACAGGATTTGAAGAAATTTGAATCTACACTACCTGAGGATCCTTCCATATAATCATCACTAATCATGGGTTTGTTGTTCTTGAGAAGATTTTTAAATACATGTATATACATTCCTATGTAAAACTTTGAAAGCCAACTGTGGCCGAACCCTGCCCCTGGGTGTCTTGATTTTAACAATCTTGAATGTACACTATGTAATGAAGCTTTCACATAAGAAGCAACTCTTATAGTTCTTGAGAAGAAGATTTGAAAGATTTTTTCCTATATATTCCTATGTAAAACTTTGATCATCTATTGTAGCCCCACCCTTCCCTGGGGATCATGGTCTGAATAAAATTCAATGTACACTTTATAATGAAGCTTTCACATAAGTTTCAACTTTTCTGGCACAGTGGTTCTTGAGAAGATTTTTAAAAGATGCCAGTAATTATCCTCCCTTGAAGGAGGACATGGCCCTTCATTTGAACAAACCCGAATCCCCTTTATCCACGGATGCTTTGTGGCAAGTTTGGTTGAAATTGGCCAATATGAGAAGAAGCTGAAAATGTGAAAATTTTACAGTGTGACGGTCAGACGGACGACAGACAAAATGTGATCAGAAAAGCTCATTTGAGTTTTCAGCTCAGGTGAGCTAAAATGTTGACCCTAACCACAATTATATCGGCACATGTGTAAGAATAACGCGAAAATATTTTTCAGATAATTACTACTACTGAACAAAAAATTAACATTCAATGTCCTAGTATATATAACGGGAATAAAAGAATATTCTGATTAATCAGATATATCAAGAATCATGGTATCTTAACGGGAGAAATTATTTTCTAAAACCTGGACCTGGAATATTGTGAGTAGAACCAAGAAAAATCAAGAAAAACATTTGATATCATCATGTACTGTGAACAAGCTAAATTAACTCTGTTATTTACTAGCATGTTTTAAACATGCGAGGTTATTATGTATGTTGACATGCAAGTTAATTATGACAATATACGAAATAGTTATGTTGAATGTTAGTTATCTTGAATGGTGACATAGAATCTTGCACGTACTCGCATGTTGAAATAAATAAGTCGAATCAACATAAGTTGCATGTCGACTTATTTAACTCGCATGTCGACATAAATAAGTGAATTTCTGCATAATTATCTCGCATGTTGACAGAAATAAGTCGTATGTCAACATAATTCTGTTGCATCTTGCATGTATGATATCAGATAAAATAGGAAAGCTGATCTCCCTACAGCTCCGCCATAAATTTTCTTGTTTGTTCGTTCATTACGATTACTATGATTTTTTTTTTTACTACACTACAAAGGAACACTTGCACTGTAATTATTTAGTCCATAATATTATCTATAATTAATGATAATACACCTCAGAGGCAGTTTTTGAAGGGAGCTGAATGCTTTGTGAACGGTGGAGGCGAGCTGCTGGTGAACGCAAAACTGTGAACGAACGGTGAGCAAACGGACAAAATTGGAAAGTAAAACGTTTCAGGGACTGAAATTCAAGATATATTACCACTCCCGTTTTCAATGATCTTCAAAACATATAAAGACAATCAATATAATTAAAGTGCTATTTGTGTTAGGAAATCTGCAATGAAATTTGGTTGCTAGTTTTGATGGAGCATAAGGCATATATACCAATACATGTACATTTCTAATACAAAATACAGGATATTTCAGAATTTCTTCCAGAAATATTTATTCACGTTTTATTTGCAGCCGAAAATCTGCATCCTAACTTTTTCCTCATGTTGTAAATTGCATGAAGTATAAAGTGCAATTGATAATAATTATGCATACACTAATAAAGTAACAAATTTTTCTTTGTACTTCTACTTTATTCTCTTTTTTTCAAGCAAACTTGATAGGGAACAGCAACACGGAATCCTCTGGACATTCCTTCTAATGATGGAAGAGGTTTTCCAGCCTCGTTTTCAATATCGTAGTCCCGCACCAGTGTTGTTATGAAAAGAAACATTTCCATTTTAGCAAGATTTTTGCCAAGACAGTCTCTGAGACCTAAAATAAACAATTTCAAAGTTTATGTTGTTAAACATTTATTATGTATGCGAACCCTAGCAAAAAGTTGCTTAAGTTAACTATAGTAAACTATTAATACTTTACTATAGGTTACTATAATAAACACGTCAAGTTTGATACGTTGATTTACTACAAAACTTTACTTTTGAACTTTCTTTTTGAGATTTCAAAGCTTAAAATCTCTTACGTTTGATAACACTGATGTAAAATTTGAAAATGATATGTGAATATACAAGTAATAGTTCCATTTATTATAAAAATATGCACGTATGAATTAGAGAACATCAAATATAACTATCTGAAATTCATAGTAAAAATACTCCGCTTTACTATTAGTAAAAACTTTGATTCTATATTAAACCATAGTTAACTATATTAAACTGTAGTTAACTATATTAAACTGTAGTTAACTATATTAAACTGTAGTTAACTATAGTATTTTTTGTTAGGTGGGTCTCATTAAAGGAAAAAAAATGGCAAAAAAATTATTATTCTGATCGTAACTAGATGCATAAAATGATTAAAAATTAGAACAGTTATCATTTATGAAAAACATACCCAATGAAAAGGTTGTATAAACCTTTTCATATCCAAACAATTGGCCGTTTTCATTGATGAATCGTTCTGGTTTGAATTTTTCAGGCTCCGGAAAAATGTTCGGATCCATGTTGACTGTGCACAAGGCTGCCATCAACCAGGCATCTTTTGGCAGCGTATAACCATTGACCGTAATGTCTTCTGAGAACGTATGTGTTGGCGGAATCACGGTGGTGAAAGAAATACGCAGGACTTCATACATTACTGCACGACAGTAGGGGAGCTTCTCTTGGTCTGCCATGGTAATAGATGTATTGGTTCCAATATTTTCTTGAATTTCTTTGCGCATGCGTACCACTACATCTTGGTTGTGCAAAAGGTACAAAATGAACCAATATAACTCATTAACGGCTGGGGTACTGGTGAAGTATAATGCATATCCCAAAACTAGGAGGTCCCTATCTGAAACAGAAAATGCATCTATCATTATCCTACATGTATATGTATACGAGGGGTTATCAAAAAGTTCGTGGACTGATGCGATAAAATTAATACTATGTAGTCGTTGATTACAAAATTTATAGGGAACATAAAACAACAAAAGTTTAAGAAATTTTGAAAATTTCAGCTTGATATGTTGATAATTTGCCAAATTATCATAAAATAAGAAGGACATCATATGATTATCCGGCGCTGTCGCCGTTTAGTTTCATGACGTCCGACAACGTCATTATTTCTTAATGCCCGCTCTCTCTGCCTCAACACACTTATCTTGATGAGATTCTCAGGAGTAAAGTAAAGATTTAAAACCGTCTTGTTTATATGACTTTACAATGTCATGAACACCTGATTGCAATGCATTAATATTGTAAAAATTAAATCTATACATAGGTAGAGATCCTCGCTTGATTTTGCCAGAATAATTTTCTTCTCGGAGTTCAATGTGAGCCAATGATCAACGTCACTTTTCAACGTGACTGACTTTGGACACCCTGACTACAAATCGACATTAACCCTGTGTCTCTTTTCTTGCTGAATTAGTTTTAGTATTTAAAAACAAGTACTCTGGGTGTATTTTATTTCTCTGTAGCTTGCTTAAACATTTTCTAGGTCTATTTCAGGTACCCAGGGGCTGAAACTTTATAGAATGTTTTCAAATGACACCCTACCCCCTTTCGACGTCATTTTTAACCCCTTTATTATTTGGACATTCAATATAAAAATTACGATAAAATATCCTAGAATATACAGAATGAGGTAAAAATTGCAACTTTTACAGAAAAATTGTGTCATATTACATGAGTGAATTAATAGGATTTTCGGATGACAAATGCTCATATTAGAAGAGTTTTTCTCAGATACACGCAGGTAGAAAATACGTCACGTTCGAGGTTGCGCCACATGGACATACCATTGCTAATAAAAACATTTACGATTCACTAAAAAATAAAACTTATAATTTGTATTTCATGTTACAGATAGAAAAGAAGATGCTTATTCAATATTTAAAAATTCATTGATATATCTCAAGCGGTTTTACATTTTATGACGCTAGTCCACTAACTTTTTGATAACCCCTCGTATGTACAATTGTAAAATACTAAAATGTGCAATGCTGACGAATGTTGACCACATCTTTCTATAACATTGAACCTATTGGGTCTCTTTGATGCGATTGAGAACAAGTTGGAAAAACATGCTTGCTTATTTCTTTGGTGGATTCTAACAAACTAAATTACATCAAGATTTATTTGCCTGCTTTGAATGAATGTGTTGGCGAAAATTTTTCAATAGGAAATTAAAAGCATGAAACTATGGCGTTTGATCGTGTTTGGATGATTACGAGACAATTTATTTTACTCATGTGTATCGCATTGCCTGGATTTAGGTACGGCATGACATTGCCGGTTGGCATTTTTTTCATAGGTCGAAAATACAAAATTACACAAGTTATTTACCTCCAAAGCCTTCCAAGCTTTCCTTACTTAATTTTCTCTTTCTCTGTTCCCTTAAAAAGCTATAAATAAAATCGTCGGACTTTGGATTTTCAAGTGTTTCTTTGTGCTCGTCAACTGACTTTTGAACGATTTTGAAGATTTCATCAACCAGGAATCGTCTCCTTCTAACTTTAAATGGATCCCCTGGTATGTACTTCAGCCATTCCAAAAAGTTCAAAATTATCTGATCATGAAATATTTCCATGGCTTCCTCAAGTAGATCCACGAGTCTTGTGAGAGTTGCATCATCGTGGTCAAATCTGTGTCCAAAAATTAGAGATGATATGATATTGTATTGACTTGTTTTGATGAGCTTGCTCACATCAAAAGGTTGACCCTTCATCTTGTCTATTTCCTTAAAGAAGTCCGGTAATTCTTCTAAAACCCGAGTTTCGAGATTGTTACCCCCTGAGTCAATGGATCGCAATGTTTCGTGTCCAAATTTTCGTTGATTCCTCCATATCGTACCAGATGCTCCAAAGATACCTATTAATAAATCATGACTGGATACACTTATAATTATATAATTTCACTCTTCTATGGTTTTCCGACTCTATTTATGGACGCTTAAGAATATTAAGCTGATTTTTGGTATGTAAGTTTCTTTTGAAGAGCTAAAGATCAAGTCTGCGTTTTGTTCCGCTTCACTGATTTCTGAAACGTTTATTGATATTGCTCATAAGGGAAAGGGACTAGTATTGTTTATGTAATGTTGCACAATGCTTCTTTCATAAGATTCTTTTGTAGCATAAATCTCGTGAAAATTAGCTTGAATAAAGTTCCTGTGAACAAAATTTAATTTACAGTTTTTCTTTTGAAAGTTGCATTGTCATTTTATTAAAATTTATCTTCTATTAAAGGGATTTTAAAACTACATCGATGGACTATAAATCTACTAACTTTTCTCATTGCATTCTATCCAGTATCAGACAAAGTTCTACAAGTATAGCGCCTTAAGGCCCATGAAACTCAAAGCATCACAGCTTTACCTAAATTGAAGGTTACATGTACCTGATAGTTCAAAATATTCCGAAAATCCAAACGTTGCAGTGTGGGCAGATGTTGATTCGCCATGCTTTTCTAGAACTTCTTTGATTGTGTCATAGCCACAAACGACAATGATAGTCTGACCAAAGACCTTCAGCGTTATAAAATCACCATGTTTCCTCTGTAGGTTGCTGAAATTATTAAGCATCTACGTCAAAAAACAGCTGATTTTTTTTTACTTTCTCTTTCTATGTTTACTCTCTCTTTCTATGTTTACTCTCTCTTTCTATGTTTATTGTATGTACATGTACACTGTTAATTAAGTTTTAATAGAAATTACAATTTTCAAAATTTATAATTTAATAGATTATATTCAGAATATTCATTTTAAATAGTACATGCATGTATTGCTTTCTATAATGTTTTAAAGAAAAAAATCAAGAACATTACAAAAGCATAGTAGCGTCTGGTTTAATGTCTACGTTTCCAACTAGTAGACGTCCAGGTTCCCTCGGCGGAAGATTCCTGTTGTCACGTGTCCAAAACATTGCCAGAAAACCGACCAGTACAGCAGTACTTAGGAGAAAAACCGGCAGAGATATCATGGACTTCTAAAGAGAATGGGAAAGAGCATCACATTTTTGTGCCATGCAACATTTATACTCTCTCTCTCTCTCTCTCTCTCTCTCTCTCTCTCTCTCAGAATGTTTCACATATCCTTGTGAAAGACACTTACATTTACAACTGGCAAATGTTTTGATTAATTGATTGTATGTTGTTTAACGTCCCTCTCGAGAATTTTTCACTCATATGGAGACGCCACCATTGCCGGTGGAGAGCTGCAAATGTTGTCCTATACTCGGCACTTACGGCCATTGAGCAGTGAGGGATCTTTTTCGTGCCAGCACCTACTGCGACACGGGACCTCGGTTTATACGGTCTCATCCGAAACAAATGTTTTGATATACTGATATGAATTAAATACTTTTCTGAATAATCATTCTAGAGACCATACATTTTATTTGCATAATAAAGGTAGATGATGTTTGTTGTCAAGTAGCAAGCAGGGGCATAACGAAGATTCTGGTTCCTCAATAAAATATTAGACACTCCAAAATTTTCATATCTCGTGATTGGTCGTCTATAAAATTACTTTGTTAAAAAACATTCTGATTTTATACACAAGTACATTGAAGTTGATATTAAAAGTATATATATGCTGGAGTTCCTCATACAAAACATTTACGTATATAGTCTTTGAAGACCAGGTCTTGCTATAATCTGTTGGAATTTCGATGGGCGTTAAAAGTGCTCCTTAATTTGCCGACCTGGTTTCATATTCCTATGAAACAGAATTTATTCAACAACTTCTACAGGAGAAGAAGAAAATTCTTGCTGTGGCCTTCATTTAAACATTTAGATACTAGTATATCGATGCACAATAGTTACCTACATTCGTATGTCGACACGATATATCACTGTAAGCTCGAAATAAAAGACACCAAAAATCTTCTACATCTGTTTCATATTTAGATGTTTTACTGACTATAGATGACAATGACCAACTAATTGACAAACGGGATGATCCAGATTTTCCATTGTCAACTTCACTTATTTTATGTAGTAATATTCCATCGTAACATGCAATGTTAAGGTGTTGATGTCTCCCTAATTCGATACGCAAGAGCATCTCCGAGTACGATCAATTTTAAACCGAGGAATGCTACCGACTAATGATAAAATTGATATTAAAGAGACTTCAACAACCATTTCGCAAATTCTATGGTCGTTATAATGACATTTTTTGTAAATATAACCTGTCATTGGGTCGTACTTTGTCTGATATGTTTCATACTCATTGTTTGGTCCTTTGTCATGTTCTGAATTTTGAATTTATCAGGTGGGAGTAAATTCTAAATTTTGTATTTACTCCCATCCGGTAAATTCAAAATTTAGAACATGACATATTGATTCTATAATAATTTGACTACAAATTACTCTGTCTACATGATCAATACATTGGGTTTTGGGGGGATGTGACCGGTCGACATGGTATGCTTATTCTTCCTAGACACCTAATAATACCCCTGCAGACATGTTTACGAAACTTTCCTAAGAATTGCCTTAAGAAAGTTCCTAACAATAATCTTAGGGAAATTTTAAGAAGATCCTTAGACAAACGTACGCATGTAAATCAAAACTGCATTAAGGTCGTCCTAAACTAAGACGTCTTAGGTGAAATGATTATACATGAAGTTAAAAATGGACGTACAGGAAAATTACAGTGTATTACACTAAAAAAAATACACTATGTACAATGTGTCTAGATTATATTATTTAATAAATTGACATCTTATTTTATGTTTGTATTAAGAGAAAATTAAATGAATATGAGAATTGTAAATAAGCTCGATAGGATTACTTTTTTATACTACCCTAAAAATTTACTATAGTAACTTCGGTAGTTATTTTAATACTTTGAATTACTATGAATCTTTACTCTGTTTTACTATTTTTTACATTACAGCGAAAGAGAATCGAACACGGGCCTTCCGCTGGCTTCGTGGTCCGGAGGCCCGGGTTTAATTCTCGTTCGCTGCGCCGCGTCAAACCCAAGATGTAAACACAAGTAGTTACTGTTCCTTCGCCAAGCGCCCGGTACTAGAAGTGAAAGTCACGAGTCTTTCGTATGAGACCTTAAAACTCGAGGTCCCGTATCACGATAGGCGTTGGAACGATAAAGAACCATTACTGCTCAATGGCCCTAAGTGCCGAGTATAGACTAAATTTAAAGCCCTTCACCGCATACTGTGACGTCTCCATATGAGTGAAAAATTCTCGATTGGGACATGCAATCAATTAATCAATCTTTGGTATGTCAATCTGTATCCTGTATAGAAAGTTTAATGTGTTTGTGACATCCCCCTCCAAAAAAAAAAAAAAAAAGAAACACAACCAAGACCAAATCCTGGGAGTAAGAAGTCCATAAATTAAAATCGTATGTGGATGTTAAATTTGTACATAACTTGAAGCAATGTGAAAAAAAAGTTTATGAAGTAAGCTAGATTTATATTTACTATGGGGCTTGGTAGTGTGTTTGAAATGTCAAGGGTGAACCAGGAATTTTCTAAGGGATGGGAGGGGGACATACTAATAAATTCCCAAAGGGAGATAAATAATAACCCTATTTCTCCGACTCGGATATTTTTTGACCAAAAAAAATAATCCCAACTCTCTCTAGTCGTGAAAAAAAAAAACCTGTCTGATCCCTATTTCTCCGACTCGGATATTTTTTTCGGGGGGGGGGGGGGGGGTATTCGAACTCTCTCCAGACGTGAAAAAAAAATTATCTGTATGTGTGGGGTGGGGTTGTCATTCTTGTGTAATTCTCCTCGACCAGCTTACGAAGGGTGCGTGCGTGTTACCCAAAGGAAGGGGTTGGTTGGGGGAGGGGTCGACAAGTTTATTTTTGCTAACTATTTTACATACAATTTAATAACTCTGAAAAATTATCAAAATTACGGTTATGTCCCTCATAAAAAAGTTTGTATACTTTTGTTTTTGTTCAGTTGCTCCCCATTCCCGTACTGTAACTGCGTCCTATTGTAATGGGTAGCGTATTTAGCTATGCCTATCATTACTGAATCTGATGGGGATATTGGAAAATGGACTCTTCCAATAGGCTGATCACCCTTTTGGTGGGTAAAATAAGCCAAGTGTATAAAAGGAGACGCTAGCAAATGTCAGGCCTCTTCGGACAGAATCAGTGGTTGTGAACACACAGAAGAAAGCTGAAGACGAGAGGTTATAAAGCCACTCTTTAAGAAAAACAATATAAAGAGCGAAGGTTAGAAGTAAGACACTAGTGGAAAGGTAGCAGTCTAGAGGAATTGTGGTGAGGTACAGGGGCGAAGTAATTCTGAATAAGGGTGAAAGAACCTGGTACTTCACAGAACAATAGGAACTCTGGCTGTTCCAGGAACACAGTGCAGGTTACCTTGCTCTGGAACCACGGCCTACCATTTTAAATTATATGGACATAGATCCAATCACTTACAACTCAGATAGAGTAAGAGAAAAACTATATTTTAAAGAACCCTTGTCCCTTGTAGAACCCAGTAGTTTTACACGTTACACTATAGATAAGCCGAATTACATACTACATGTAGTTATAAGTGTCTTTTCAATACATAAGAAAGCTATCATTTTTGTATTATTTTATTGTTCACCTCACAAGATATTCGTTCCTCGGGAGAATTATGTTCTTTCAGATGTAGGAGACAAGCTTTTCTACTGTTAACAACTACATTCTTCGCCAATCAAGGGATTTTTCCGAGAAATGAAAGGAAACGTTTAAACTAAAACTTTAGACAACAATGTAAATCGCCGAAAACTTTCGACCAAAAAATTGGCTGCGAGAAAGTGGCCACTGGGTTGCGAAAAAGTTATTTATCCGACATAATTTTCAATTACATATAAATATATAAAATGACTCGTATGTATACCTAGAATAATTATATTTAAAAAAAGTGTCCAGAAAACTATTCTTGCGAAGAAAAAATAATGTAAATAGGTATTTAATACAACAATGATACTTTTACGAGTAGGGTTTTTTCGTGTGTTGAAAAAGTACCTGTTCTGTTATTTAGTCTATTGAATTTAACTTCTCCCTTTCATAACACCCTCATCCCAATGACAAAAAAATAAACATCATCCACTTTTTAATGACATATTAAACATAGATACAGGTATTTGTATTTCGCCATCGTCGGATACCGAAGGGTAGTCTCGTGTTTAACTCATCACCGGGTGATGAGTAAAAGACGAGATCACCCGTGAGTATCCGACGATGGTATTTCGCAAAAGTAATTATGAACTAGTTAAATGCATCAGGAGAAGGAGGATTAAGCACTTTTCAAATTTAAATTCGATTTATTCCTCGTCATCGTAAAATTGAGAAATATAAATCACAGAAATTATCATTTATTATTATTATTATTATTATTATTCATTGTAAAATTAAGAAATTTTCATACGATGATATCTTTCTCAGTTTTCAAATCGGCTTTCTCAGTTTTCAAATCGGAATCGCGATCCCTCAAATTCAGGTTCGTTTCTATGGTGGCATATTTCTGCCCCCTACATACAAGATATAATGTTAACATGCAACATAATAATGTAGACTTGCGACTTATTTATATCAACATGCAAAATAAACATATTGACATGGAAGTTACCAATCTCTCTAGAAAATATAATTTTAATATTGGTAAACTTACTTACTAATGTCATTATATGACATCAAACAAGCAAGATACAACAGGATTATGTAGACATGCAACTTATTTATGTTAACATGCAACATAATTATGTAGACATGCGACTTATTTATGTCAACATGCAAGATAATTATGAAGACATGCAACGTATTTATGTCAACATGCAAGATAATTATGTAAACATGCGAGTTAAATATGTTATCATGCGAGATATTTATGTTAACATGCAACTTATTATCTTGAATGTTGACATAAATACCGTGCATGTAAAAAATATAACTCACATGATGACATAGATAAGTCGTATGTTGACATAAATAAATTGCATGTTGACATAAATAAGTCAATGTTGACATAAATAAATTGCATGTTGACATAAATAAGTTGCATGTTGACATAATTATCTTACATGTTGAGATAAATAAGTCGCATGTCTACATAATTATGTTCCATGTTAACAAATAAGTCGTATGTTGACATAAATATCTTGCATGTTAACATACTTATCTTGCATGTTAACATAAATAAGTCGAATGTCAACATAATTCTGTTGCTGCTTGTTAGTATGATGTTGTATAGTGGCGCTAGTAAGTAATTTTACCAACATTAAAATTACATTCTCAAAAAAGATTGGTAACTTGCATGTCAACATAATTATTTTGCAATTTGACATAATTATCTTGCATGTTGACATACTTTTCTTGCATGTTAACATAAATTATCGTGCATGTAGGGGGCAGAAATATGCCACCATACGTTCCAGATTCATTTTTAATATATTCGACCAGTGCATACTATCTATTCAAGATATATTACTAAAGTCAGGTACTCTTCATACAATTGCTCTGAAAAATATAGTTCCATTCATGATCAGAAGATACACCATTACAACAAATGTTTAGAATATTGATGTATATGTAATACGTGGAAGAAAACAAAATTACCATTAGATGATTTTAAGAAAATCACCTTTTCCCCAGAAATGTAAATAAGTATATTCATATTCCTACGCTAGCTGCCTCCTCAGTCTTTTTCACGAAAATATATAGGTCATTCTTCGATTGACAATTTTTCACCAATTATATTTTCATGATTATCAGTTGATTATTGTTCTTTAATTATCATACAATTTCTTCTGAAAAAGAATGTTTATCATTTGTTTTGTAAGTGTTTGTTTTGTTTTTTCTTTTGTTGTTTAATGACCGAGTAGTTACACAACACGTAACGTTACCTGCACATATTTCTGATTGCACAAGTGTAGACTTAGGTTTCATGGATTTGGTTTTGCAAGCACAGGTGTGTGCACTGTTTGCCAGTGACGCAAGACTGGTGACGGTATTTCCTACGAAAATGAACTATACACCATTTTCATAACAAGTGCAGTTTTTTTCCTAATAGATAAGCTGAGCAGTGAAAATTCAAGTATATTAAAAGTCGAATATCTTGGATATTGGGTAGCCCATATCTATTCTTGTTAGATTCGGATTCGATTCAAATTCAGAAACATTTCTAATGATAACAATATTTGTTTTTGAAACTCTGATGCCCTTGTATAGCAACTTATTGCCAAGGTTAGACTTTCAAAATTAGGTAAAACTCCAAAGTCATGAGTTCAAAAATGTTGATTCCCAAAGAAAGGTCTTGTCACAAAGAAAGCACTTGTAAAATATATTAACCCAAGCACTAACAGTTCAGACGTTACGGCTAAGGTTAAAGTTTTTTTTTCAAAAGTGGGACAAACCCCGTGGTCAAGGGCATGAGGTAAAAAATGTTGGTAGTCAAAGAAAGTTCTTGTCACGAAAGGTGAAAGTCATGAAGTCAAAAATATTGGTACCCGAAAAAAGCCTTGTCACAAAGAATACACATGTGAAATATGAAAGTCTTAGCTCCAACCGTTCAAAAGGTATGGACAACGTTAAAGTTTTGCAGACAGACCAACACATAAACAGACAGAAGGACAGACTAAAGATCATTTACCTCTAATCTCCGACTACGGGGGCATCAGGGAAATATGAAAGCTATAGTACCAACCATTCAAAAGTTTTGGCCAAGGTCAAATTTGTCTTAAGTTTTTCAAAAGTAGGTCAAGCGCCAAGGTCATTAGGTCAAAAATGTTTCAAGAAAAAAGATCATGTTTCACCTACAGAAAATTGTCAATGACTGAGTCTCTTCTTTAATTTGTCTGAATCAATATTATAATTATTTTTTTAAATTTTCATATCAGCAATAACATTCAATATCTACATTAACTTTTTATCCCTTGTTACATGCATTCATTTAACGATATCAGCAATGATAAGTTATTTTGATTGCATACTTTTTTTTATTTATGCACTGAACTTTTCACTCAACATGAATCTTTAAAAGCAAAAATCTATTATAAGTAACTTTAAATTAAAGGTCTCCATTTTAAACCAAGCCATCCTACCTGAGACTGATGAAGGCTTCCGTTTATTACATAGAAGAGTCGAGGTTCCTCAATTCTTAACAGAGATTGTACTGAGAAATAAAAAGTCGTCGTTTTCTTTGTGTTTACTCAGCATGCAGCCATTACTATTTTCAAATATTTTGCCAACCAGCATGTCACGTGACCAATTTACTACGTCACAGCGAACATTCCTATTTGTTTGTCGTCCATTGTATCATATCAGCTGCAGACATCATGCAATTTATTTCATTTTAAAGATTACATCCACTAGACCGTGTATTTTCGCCATTTAAAGGTTAGCTATCGCACTGCAAAACATTCATGGCTGAAATTCTATATGTGTGACTAATCTTTTGCTATGAAAAGATTTATGCATGAAATGAAATTGAGAAAAACATTTTGTTTGTCAAAAACGCATACTGACTTGAAAAGGGTAGGCCTACCATTCAGAAATTATAATTTTCCCACGGCGTCGGGCTGTGTTAGATTTTTTTTCTTAGACTAGGCTCGTTGGATAAGTCGTTCAATGATATTCTTGTGATAACTCGGTCTTGTAAAATTCATACTTTTATGGTACATGTAAGAAAAAATAATTGATTGATTGTATGTTGTTTAACGTCCCATTCGAAAAATGTTCACTCATATAGAAACGTCAGCGTATGAAGGTGAAGGGTTTCAAATTTAGACCTATACTCGGCACTCATGGCCATTGAGCAATGAGGATTCTTTATCGTACCAACGCCTACCGTGACACTTTTTAAGGTCTCATCCGAAAGACCAGTAACTTTCACTTCTAGTGCCGGGCGCTTGGCGAAGGAACAATCACTACCTGTGTTTACGTCTAGTTTTGACTCGGGGCGGCGAACGAGAATCGAACCCGGGCCTCCCGATCACGAAGCGAGCGCCCTACCACTAGGTTACCGTGGCCGGTAAGACTAATTGAAAATGTGTAATCTTCCATGGAAATCAGAGCATGAGATATTAAAGCAAATCTGTCTTTGAATATATAACATTCAATTATCTGATTCAATTGCATATATAACATATTGGAGGTAATAATTGTAGTAGAAATTATTTCTTCCTTCTGTTTTCTCAGTAGATACTGGTCTTTATTTTCCAGTATTTTATCAAATCAGGAAATGACGTCATATACAAAGTCATGTTGTCTGAGGGCACAAACAATAGTTTTGTGGCATGGAAGTTGCATTAAATCGTTGTTTGCTTTTTTTCCAAGTAAGTTGTTCCTTTGTCTGAGCCACCATGCCGTAAAGTATTATTGGGAGTTTAGAATTTTTTCACGTGGACTCATAAAAATTTCATTGAACTATGCGTAGATTTCAGCACGAATTCCCTCCGTTCGTACACGTTGTCTATTGAGCTCCCTACGCGAGCAGCGCTTCGCGCCGCTCGCTTTAATAGTAGCGCTTTATTCATTTTAATTCGTGTTGTCAATGTTCGTGAGTAACCAAAATTATACTGGATTCAAATGTGATTATGTAATTTCATGGGTTACTTGCTTACATATAAGATTCAATGAATCGATACATTTACAAAGTTGTCGTTCGTGCGGATGGATGACCCACGAAATCCACACTAACATTGATCCCCCCACCAACAATCATGATCCAACAGTAGATTGAAAAGCTTTATGGGAAGCTTGATGGCACTCAGAAAATAAATATATGTACATCGATATCGGACAGCTCATTATAAAGAATTGAATTTCACGTTATACTTACTTCCTTGCCAATGCGTGCCTATCCTGAAGCGACATTTAAAGCATTGATTATCAAGAGGTCTGCTTTGTATTTTTTTAAAATGTATATGGAAAAATGAAGCAATTAATCACAGCAGCTGTTCTTTAAGAGAAACAGTGATGCAAAATTAAGAAAAATTATTTTTATATGGTCCATGCAAATTTTGTTCAATTTTGAAAGTATAAGATTTCATAAAGTTACTAGTTTCTGAATCTTAAAAGATACTTTTATGGAGAATAAATAAATTGTCTGGCCCAAGACACTTTTTCTTCCTACTGTTCGCGTGCACAGAAAACATGAAAAAATTACCATGGTCTCAAGTCTCAAGAAGTGAAATTTCGTTATACCGAGGATTTTGATAGATATTTACCTTTGCTGTTTTCGAGTTTTATGCTATTTATAAAGTCACATGATGTTGACATGGAGTATAACAACTGTGAGGTATATACAGCCTTGACTTTTCCGTCACTTACATATTTTTTGCAGTTGAGTTTGTCACGATTTCGTCATACTCATATTTTTTATACATCTTACAATTTATGATACAAATATCATAAAAGAAATGTTTGATATTGACTCCCTATGCACCTTTAAGGAGTGAGTGAAAAAACGTGATAATCATGAACAATGATCCATGTCATAAATTCTGTATATAATACACAATTGAGAATGAAAAGACTTGATTCAAAAGTTTAATAAGTTGATGTAAAACCTACCTTGTTTAAAGATTTTCTCACTCGTTGTCACTAAAAACTCATCAAAAACTACAAAAAAGGAAATAGGAAGGAAGTAATCGTGGATTTCGGAGTCGGATTAAATATATACACAAAGCCGTAGTTTAGGTATTTTATACAAGAAGTGAATGTCATGATAGGAGAAAGTCACTTTAAGTGAACCCTTATAATCATTTGATATATTAATTGTTTTATTGCCACTCCTGGTTACATCTAGCAATGCCAATTTTATAATATCCACGACACTTTCTAGTCCAACTGTCGTATTGTAATTATTGATACAAGAATTGAAACTTTGTATTAAAACATTATACAAGACTCATCCCTCAGAAACAACTTTCAAAAAAAAATTCCGCATGCAATACTTTAAAACCTAGAAAAATAGAACAAGACACGAGGTCTGTACAAGAGTAGGTCCAAAACCCTTTTTTGATTGGGTTGAAGGGGTTTAAAGCAATGTGTCGGCTAAGACTTCTGTCTTCCAGAGACGCTAAGTACTGGAGATGATTTTTCACTTTCAGAAAAGTATAGCATATTGTATAAAGATGTATATATGTATGTGCCTTAAAATTGTTGAAAATTTGAATAAAATAAAAAAAATACGGAAATTGACACATTTTGCGACCTTTGTGTGACCTCAATACTAATCTTGAAACAAGGATGACTACCGGTTTTAATTATTAACTTGTGTATCATTATGAATGACACTCCAAAGCAGGGGCCAAAAAGTAGCGTATGGCTATATACAACCTTTAAATTTTATTGAAATTCATACTATTTTTTACTGTAAATCTCCCTTTCTGAAGCATGCTCTTGAGTATCGAAGAAGTCGGGAGACAAAAACACCATATGCAGGTGATATAGAGTCTTAATGCATCAAGAAGGAAAGTAGGAGGAGTAAGCATCCCCTGTTGACCAGTCACACCCGCCCATTAGTCCTATGTACATGTATTTGTTAAGTGAATATTCCGTAATCAGATTTGGTATGAAACAAAGGCCTAACAATGAACATGATATATTTTAGACTTGTCAAAATAGGACCCAATGCAAGGTTATATTTGCTAACAAGGTCGTTATAACGACCATGGAATTTACGAAATGCTGACTTTAACGAGATTGTTGAAATCTCTGTAACATCACTTATCTGTCAAAAGCCTGCCTTAGTTTGTGCGGAAAAACACCTTAAATGTATTTATATAACAGGATGTTAAATTTTATACAAAATGGAGTCTTTTTTTATTTATTGGAGTCTTGGATATACACAGTTGAATATCCCTTCTGTTGTAGAATTTAAGTATAAATTTACATTCAATGAAGTTAAGTCGCCCGCGTGGCGCAGTGGTTAGAGCGTCTGCTCTAGAGTCGCGGAGTAAGGAGTTGATCCGTTCGAATCCCACTGCGGTACCTGGAGACCGGTCCTTCGGATGAGACCGTATAAACCGAGGTCCCGTGTAACTGTAGAGTTTGAAGCTTTACTTCATTGTTTGTTTGTTGGTTAACGTGCCTCTCGAGAATTTTTCACTCATATGGAGACGCCACCACTTGCCGGTGGAGGGCTACAAATTTTGACCTATGCTCAGCACTCATGGCCATTGAGCAGTGAGGGATCTTTTTGTGCCAACACCCACTGCGACATGGGACTTCGGTTTATACGATCTCATCCGGAGGACCCGTCTCCAGGTCCAAAAGTGGGATTCGAACCCCCGATGTAAGGATCAACTCCTTACCCTGCAACTCTAGAGCAGACCCTCTTACCACTGCGCCACGCGGGCTTGGAAGATCATTTGCTGGACCCGGCAATGTATCTTCATTTGTAAGGATTTTTATGAAGTTTAGGAATCCAGTATAGGTAGGGTAGATCGAATTCACTTTTGTTGACTAGAATGTTAGAGATATTAAAGATTGAAATGTGATTTTGAAGAATTTCATCCTAGAGTTAAATGATGCATCTTTATCAATAAAATAGTGATTTGAAAGTTTCACATTTCTGCCTGCTTTTATAGCCGAGAAGTCCTTGGTTAAAGGAGCTCAAACCCAATCAACGACACTTCCGCTTTTACTATTTATAGAAATTTGGGTCTGTCAAAAACGGCACGATATGCAAGTTTTTTTTAAAGGAATGTGTTTTTGCGTTTAACTGCAAGACTCTCTCTCTCTCTCTCTCTCTCTCTCTCTCTCTCTCTCTCTCTCTCTCTCTCTCTCTCTCTCTCTGTTGTGTGTGTGTGTGTGTGTGTGTGTGAGACCTCAATGTACGAGTATTGATGGATTAATCAGTTTGAATGCTTAAATTGGATTTCTCCATTAATTATAAAGTAAATAAAAAATATAAATCATAATACCCTTATTATTCAGACAGACTAATACGTTTTCAAATACGCCAAGAAACAACTCTTTATTTGAAGAAGAATGTGTTCTTTAGAAAGAGACAAGATAATTAAAAGAACATGGACCTTTAAGAATCAATTGACATACATGTATTGGACAGTATCTTTAAATTCAACACATATTATCATTTGCTTTTCAAAGATTTATCAGCGATGTATTATCAATTAACAATAGTTATTTTCATTCTTATGTCGACTCGATATATCCCAGTGAGCTTG